TGATAAAACGAAGAATGATGTAAACGCATGCGATTCAAGAGTAGCCTAGGAAGAGCACACGTAAAGCAGCAAATGAAAATGAAATGTGAATGAATGTTAAAACTAAAAATCTTTTTCTCATTTGTTAAAAGAACTTCGTCAAGTATTATTATTATTATTATTATTATTATTATGGTTCGCGAGCGAACGAACGAACAAACGAACGACAGAGCTGTTGCGATTAATGTCAGAGTTAGTCTCCTCGAGAAACAGAAAACAAAGGGAAAGACACAACAAAACCAAAACGGAAACAGTTCACCGTTCTACGTCAACGAGATTATTCGTATAATACTTGACTAAGCGTCAACCCGATGTACCATTTCTTCGACACGGAATCAAAATCGGCGCGCGATCGTCGCTCGAACGAACGGAATTTCTCTGGAACGTCTGGGAGCGTCGAACGAGCGTACGCTCCGGTCGAACGGAGAGATACGCCGGTTCGAAGCCAACAGATATCATAGACGACAAACGGAGCAGACGAGATCGTTCCCGAAAAGATTATCTCCGCGACTCGACGCGGTCGGTTGCGAAAATGGTACAGGGTTCAGAGTGTTTGTTAAACAATAAGCAGGACTTACAACGCGCGCAGTACCCAGCGACACAAGTCTGGCGGCCTTTTTTACCTGTACGCCCAAACGGTGTTGCGTGTGACGACTTGTCTGCTTTACCAGTGCGCAGATGAATTCAGATTGCAGTTCAGGCTGGTCTAAACATTGCTGCAACGCATTTTGCGCTAGTACCACATGGTAGTCTATGCCTGCTTGCTCCACTGCCACCGACATGAACAATTGACATGCCTGTATCGACAACAACGCTTTCGTCAGAGTTTCATCGCACACGTGAAAACGTCGTCAATCAATCGACTGAAACGTATTTTGATCTGAACCTTGAATAGCTTGATAGCCTCGGTCTGCAAGGCTTCTGACGTCAAGCTGGTCAGTGGACTAGTGATATTCTCTTTCGTGTGGAGCAACAACGGATGTCTCCAGAGTACGCAACTCGGGTCTCCGTCGGTTTCCATCAGTCTTTGCACCAGTTGCTCGTACTGGGTCCCCGCGCTGGGCCCGCCTCCGGAAACCACCGTCAAATGATACAACCAGTTGTCTTTGTCTTGTTTGTGGGGCATCAGTAGGTAGGTAGGACCTTGGTGGGTGGGAAAGATGCCGATGGTCCTCTCGTGAGAGCACTCGGCGTCCCTTTCCTCGCTGTCGCTGTCGGACACGTGCTCCACTTCTTCCACCCTCGCGTCCCTCATGTTTATTTGACCAATAGGATTCTAAGGACGAACGGAACTTGTCAAGAACTCTTCGACGACGAACGGGAGAGTTCGCGGCTCTTCCAAATACTCACCGTATCGTTAGGGCACTTAAAGTAAAGGAACATTTTTCCGATCAGGACGCACCAGCACTTCTTCGCGTGCCCGTTCTTCACCTTTGTCAGCCAGCCCTGTATCGTCGGCTTATTGTCCTCCTTGCTGAGCAGCAGTTTCGTCGCGTTCCGCCTTTGCACGTTCTGCAGAACCCTGATCCAGTCTTCCATCGTGGCGATGCAGTCCGCCGTCAGGTAGTAAGTCTTTTTACCCGTCGAGATTTCGAACGTGGCGGCGCCCTCTGCCCTGTTTATCCTGTCGAGGAGCGGAGAATTAACGGATCGTCCCTGCAATCTAACCAACGACCGCGAGACGTTCGACGGAGGATTACCTGCAGACTTCGTCCAACACGATTTGCCCCTGAGGTTTCCTGTTCACGTCGTTCTGACTCTTCCAGTAGGTGAGTACCCCGTTCTTCAAGACGAACCACCGCTTCCGCCAGGTTTTCAGCTTGCCGCCGAGTTTCGCCAGGTGGCCGGTCTTCTCCAGGGACTCCTGCCGCTTCGGGCTCTCACCGGAAACGCGCATCAACAGGCTGGGCATGCTGGACTCGAGGGACGTCGAGCTCAGGGCGTCGGGAGGTATCGCGTAGTCCTCGGACAAGCCGGATTCCAGAGAGGTATCTGCAAAGATGCGACTTCAGACTCGCTCTAGACTCTCGATTCTCTTCTCGACCGAACAAGAAGTTAGTGTACACGCCGAGTGCTCACCGCGTTTCACGCTTTTGCTGGGAGAACCGCTGGAGCTTCTCTTGGCGGGGCTGAGGCTGCTGGTGGTCTTGACGCTCTTCGACGGACTGCTCCCGCTGCCCAGCGACGAGTCCGTGTTGTCCGAGGAGCTGTTGGTGATCCTGGTGTTGGTCTCGGTCTGGTTCGGGTGGTCCTCGCCGTCCGAGCTGTCGTCGGAGCTGTCGCCGAAAGGCATCGACCTGATCTGACTCGCTCGTCCTGCAACACGGAGAGATCTTTGCTAACTGGAACAACCGCATGGGAGATTCTTCGAAGAGGGGGAGGAGAAGAAGACAGCGGAAGCCTACCCTTGACCGTCGCGTACACCGGAACCGAAATATCGCAGTAGCCTTGGGAATTGTGCGCGGTCAAGTTGTGTCCTGTTGCCTGGGAATGTTTCGACGAGCTGGTCGTGTTGGTCATCGTGGAAGGCGCGGATTCCTCGTTGGTCGGTGGACCGATGCCAAGCCCGCCATCGGCTACCTACGGAATCGGCGAGCAGCCGCGGTTTCTTTCGTTAGATATTGCCAACGGCCGGCGAGCGCGCGTTTCGTCCTATCGCCGATTCGTTCCGGAATCCTTGGACTCGCCGGTCGCGTTTCTCTCCGCGTAGAATTCCCGGCAACAAGTGTACCGCGGAGGTAACGAGGCAGTAAAGTAGCGAGACCGACCGAAATCACCGGAAGAGTCGTCGGTTGTCGACATACTTTCGCGGTCGGGTGAAAAATCCAGCTAATTTAGGAGCGGTCCGCATAGCTGCGATCGAGCTTTAGCTTTCCCACCGTCGCGATACCCTTCGTTTATCGACCAGCAGACCCACACCTCTTTTTATAGCCCGGCCGGCTTTACTGCCTCGCTATAGATCATTACCTCCGAGCGTATTCTAACGGCGGAACGAATGGGCGAGCCTGAATGAATCGAATCCGCGCGCTCGTTACGATACCCTTCCGCTATCGGGGTATCGCGGAGAGAGCCTCTCTACCTGGTATATCTTCGCCTCCCAACTGGGAAACCGGTGGAGCGGCGGAGTCGGCGGCCTCGGACCCTGCGCGTTCTGAGACCAATTCATCCCTTCTCTGCTGGGCGTGTAGATCTCGGCGTAGTCGTGCACCGCCTCGGAACTGCCGCTGTCCCGGCTGGTCTCCGACACGCCGGGTATGTTCGGCAGCATCACCAGGTTCTCGACCGCGGCGGCGAGCTCCTCGGACAGAAGGCTGCAGCAGGGAACGAACGGCAAGCATCAAGCTCGGGACTAGTCGAACCGGCGGCAGCGCGTTGCGTTCGATCGGCGGGAGTGTCGAGTCGACTAACGAGAACTCGGAGAGGAGAGAACGAGAGTGACACGAACGGGAGACAGAGGGCCAGAGAAGAGAGAAAGGGAGAAGAGAAGCTGCAGTCGGTTCGAGCACGATTGGACGTTCGAGTTTCATCCCGTAGGACCGAGGTCTCCGCGTTTTCACCGACGACGATCGAGCGATCGACGAGCGCGATCAACGGAGAACGCGAACAGAGTGCGCGAGGTCGGTGTTCGAACGTTCCAATCGGTTTCGACCCGTTGCGCACGGTGATCGCCGAGAATTAAGTGGCAACGGAGAGTACACGGGTTGACAGATCCCCGCAGGAAGTCTCAGGACGTTACAGGGTACCACAGTTTCGAGGATCGGGCGCCGCTATCACGTCGTGAGACCTCCCAAGGAGAATCGAAACACATTTACACGACTGTTATATATATATATATATATGTATATGTACGCGTGTATATCGCATCGACGGTATACACGCGCGCGCGAGCTGTTAAAGGCGGCCGAAGCGCGCGAAAGCGGTTAAAACCAAGCGAGGGAAGAAGCGCGAAAGGTCTACCTCGAGTCCATGTTGGTGGCCGGGATCCCGCGCTGTATGGTCCCGCAGGCGGACAGATGCCTTCTGTGCTTGGTGCCGGCTTGCGGTTCCGCGACGGCGGTCTGCACGGTTTCCGGTGCCGCCTGCGGCGTGCCCTCCAGGCTCTCCGATCGTCTGCGTAACGTGGGGTCCACCTCCAGGGACAGCGACGCCCTCGTCGGTGCCTGCGACACGTCGGTCGTCGGTTAGATCGGAACGATCGACATCGTCGTCGTTCGTTCCTCCGGAGTAACGTCGAGCAACCGTCGAATGTTGCTCGGCGGTCCGGAGCAGCGAATTCGCAGCGATAAGCCGCGGAACGTTCGCGCGTCGGGAAAGGTTGGATAATTGAAGGATATCGTTAGCGAGGGTTCGACGCACTGTGCTGGAAACGGTGCGTCAGCTGTCGGGAATACCCGTATGGGAACACTCACAGGTGGTTTCAGGCCGATGTTCGTTATGTGGTTCCGCAGGAGCTCCAACTGCTGGTTGCACTTGTTATTCTGTTCCCGCAGATGCTGGTTCTGCTGCTCCAACTCCCGCAGCTTATTCGTCACCCATTCCTTGATCCTCGCGGCTTTCGCCTCGACCTGCCTCGCGTCTTGAAGTCGGAGCTGCCTCTGCGAGCAATCGCTAATCAGTCACGCGGCGGAGATAAGCGGCTCGATATCGCGAGCCTCCTTATCGGAGTTTCTCGCGACGCCGAGCCGGAGCTACCGGGACGACGCGAGCTCCTCGGAATCGCTGACGAGCGGGGACGATTCGCGAACGGAAATATCGTGACCCGACCGCGACGCGTAACGAGCAACGAGTATAACGGGGTTCGCGTCTCACCTGTTCCTCGACCTGCGTCTCTAGCTTCGATATACAGGCACAATGGACATCCTCGATCTTGTCATTCTGCGTACCGGAGGTGGACGGCAGCGAATGCGGTGGAGAACCTACGCCGGATGTGCTCAAGCAGTATTCACCCTTCACTAGCCGCTCCTCCATCATCCGTACCTGCGTAAGAAGAAGCACAATCATCCCCTTGAAACGTGTTGCTGGCATCGGCTGGTCGACTACCATGAAATGTTTCAATGCTCCGTTAATCCCGATGCTTCCAAGACCACCGAAAGCCTCGATCATCCGTATTTCATCGCGAGAATCTATCTTTCACTCCGAACACCGAAGCCGTGAACTTTTACAGACGCGTTCCGCGCAGCGGAGGTCACGGTCCGCGTGCGAACGAACGCGAGAAGCATGGCAGCAGAAGAATTAGAACGAGCAGCAGCAGCAGAAGAAGAAGAAGAAGAAGAAGAAGAAGAATGAGGAGGAGGAGCAGAAGAAGAAGACGCGCAGCGTGGGAGCGACGGCCAAACGAGAAACGGAGGCTCGCGGGGTTGTCGCCACTCGTCGCGTCCGTTGTCGCGTGGTGTTACGCTACGCGTACCCCTCCGGTGCGTGCAGAGACGCACGACCCCTTTTCCTCGCTAGCACACACGAGCCACGGCCACCCCGGCGGTGGTCGTTTCGCAGCAGCTGTCAAAAATCGATATCGCGTTCACGCGGCACGGAGAGGATACGCCAGCGTAGGACGCGGCACGTAAGCGCCCGCACACGCTGCCGAGAGGCCGCGTCCACTACCAAAAGGGGAGAGAGAGCGGTATCGAGAAAATCAATACGGCCCGGCAACGGGGAAATCCTCTGGCCAAGTGTTTTCCTCCCGACCCCTTGTCCCGTTCCGTGTGCCGGGACTGCATGTGCTCTTCCCGAGTTCTATCGATCACATCGCCGGAGAACCCGCTCGTTTTCACGTTCATTGCCGTATCTTTCCCACGACTCACCGACCCCTCCTCCTCTCCGTCTCGCTCGCTCGCCGCGGCGACGCTCCTCTCGCGCACCGTTTCATTGGGTTTCCGGGTATTTAAAGGAGAGATCGCCGGCGAAGGGTGGCACGCTGGATTCATTGATTCGCGGCGTCGCCGGAGCAGACCTACTTCGGCTTCACACGGTTCCCGAGGCTCCCATGTGACTGCTCGGGGTGGAACCAGTGTCCTCTCGCGAGGAAAGTACACGCTCGTGGATTCGCCGAGGGCGAAAGACGCACCGTGACTCGCGCGACGCGACCGGATTCTTCGGAGACACTGCTAGCCGATCGAGACCGCGACTCGACGATGAGAACCCTACGAATGCTGGAAATCGAAACAACACTAGTCGGGTTTCGTTAATTAATGTACCAGACATGTCGGCTGAGCGATGGCGTTCGCCTTGGGAACAGAACGACGCCAGATAATCCCGGCTACGCGTTCCGACCACGGTACAGAGACACTCTCCGCGTTCCGGCGTGGCGTCGCAGCGAAATCACGGCTGGCCACGTGCAGCGCCTAGGCCGGCCATAGCCACCCCCCGCGGGGCGCGACGAACGCGCGACGAACGCGCGACGAACGCGAGACGCGTCGAGCGTGGCTCGAGTCTGCCACCGAGGAACATCGAATCCGCCGTG